GCGTGTAAATTAACACACACAAACCTCCCCACCCCCATCACAAATATATAATTTTGATATATTTTCATGGGTTTATCTGTTTAACCTACACATAAAGATACATAGTTATTGATCACCATCTATTCACATCAAAGTTGAGTATACCAATTAATATTGTCCATTAAATGTTTAAGACTAAGAGAACCAGTAATTTTTTCGATAACTTGAAATGATTTATTTCATTAATTTCAGTGACGAAATAATTATTTCAGGCAGTCGTGTGTACAACGCTATGCCTAGAGTACAATAAATTAAAACAAATAACTACCAAAACTATTTCTCCATTTACTGCAATCAAGATAGGTCGTTCAAATTTCTGCTACAATCGTTATTCCAATGGATTATCAACAACCATCTAGATTGTGAATGCTTAACATAGCTTATATTGTCGTGGGTTCAGCAAGAATAAAAGTCTAAGGGAGCAAAATTTGTGGTTGTTACTGCGAATGTAGATCTATTCAGGATCGAAGGTTGTGAATTTATCGAGGATTAATTTGTCAATGTTCTACTATATATCTTCTTTCAGACCTTATCCCTTAATTAGTATACAATATCAATTGGACGGGGCAAGATACATCTAGGTTATATTTCATGTATCACGTGATATTGTATATATATATCTTGGGATATTACTAATTGTATGTATCATGTGATAAATTTTAACTATATTTCCCAATAATTGAGATTATACATAAGCTTTTAATTAAGATCTTGTTGATTTGATATTCAATTAATAATTTTGTTAAGAAAATAATAATGGTCGGTCAGAATTTGGAAAAATGTGGTATACTAATAATTCATTAAATTCATAAGATAACATTTATTGGAATTGATAGAGGCCCCATGAAACGTATAAATTATTAATACTGGTATTTATGGCCGTGCAATGCACATGATTATTTTATAATTGAAAAAAATAATTATTTAAATATAACAATAATTTTCTAATAATTCAAGAGTTAACTTGTGGCAGTTATGGGTTTTGTTTATTTATTATTAATATATAATACAAGTATGAGCAATAATGTTAATAATTCAAAAATTAAGTTTCTAATTTTAGGAAAGATTGTATCGATATAAGATACATTATTTTGCCCTTCTGGTCATGGATCAATTATTTTGCATTAATTTATGATTTTAATATTAATAAGTAAAAGAATTAGAAAAAAAAATCCATCTGTTTATAGTAGATTACGAATCCATAACCATATGCTATACGATTTGTTATGAAAGATATAGAGTCAAAAATTTCATTGCATGAATAATTAGAGAAAAATAGCTGAAAAATAAGAGATTGTTAAAAAAAGATTTTACAAAACTGTCATTAAGATTTTTTAGGGTTGCCTTGACATTTATTAATTTTATATGTGAGATCTCGTTCATCTATATACATTTATAATTAGGGATACCCTCAAATCTAATTTTATTAGCGAGTTTTTTTAATTAAGAATAATCCCTTTTGTGTTATTAATGTTGTACAAAATATCCTATATTTATATTGGGGAAATATGCAATCCCCCCTTAAATGGAAAATATTATGAGTAAAACCCAATTGACTTTTAAGACTTTTGCACAAACCCACATCCCAAACTTAATTAGTGAAACCCCCTCAATTAAACATAATAAGACATAAGTACCCTTATTAACAATTTTTTTTATAATAAATCAAATATTTAATCACGATATCTTTCCATAACCGTTTCCCTTTATTATAGGCGGATATAAGCGGACGTGATTCTCGTGTGTATTCAGATATGTGTGTATGTAGAACCGAATTTTTATTGCGTAAGAACACATTTCTTTCCCTCCGGTTCTCTGAATCGGGTTCGTGCAATGACCACTGACTCTGATTCTTCTGCACCATTCAAGAAAGTCCAGATTCAGAGAGATAATACGGTAACCATCACTACTTGTCGTTTAGGTTCCATTCTCCGGTTGAAATGAGCATTATTTTCATTTTTTTCTTTTAGGGCCTTTGTTATATTCCCAATTAGGTCTAATTATTGGGGGAAATCAGAGATTCTAGTAAAATTTCCATTTTTTTTATAGTTGATTAATTGCTTGATAAAGATGGGACAATTAGTGTATGTTTCTTTTTGGGTCGTCTTAATTGGTGTAAAGGATCGTTACTAATTGAAAAATTTATTTCGTTTAATTTTACACAGAGTCACGTTGTGACTACTCTGTAAATCTTTTGTTCGTTTTGTGTTAATTGATACGCTAGTGTAATTTTTTTGTAATTTATTTTTTGTGTTACTGGATATGTTAGTGTAAGTGTCAATGTGTTTGTTGTGGTTGAATTGAATTCACATAATATTATGTGATTTGCATTTACACAGTAGTGCAGATTTATTCATCAGAAGTAGTCACATAGTAGTCACATTCTCATTTTTTTGTGTAGTGCTGCACAGCATGTCGTCAACCTTCATGATTGTGTTGAAGTATGGGGGCTCTTTTGCGGTGAAGATATGTTAGGGTGATTTTTGTGTATGAAGATCTCGTTGGCTTTGTCACTGATAAGTGGTGCAGTTTGAATGCGAGGGATGTATCGATGACTTACAATGTTGATGGATATGGCGAGGGTATATTCTCACTTACTGACTTACTGAATATGACTCACGTAATAGTCATATTCTCACTGTTCTGTTAATAATTATGACTATTGTTGATTCACTCGATTAGTGATTTATGAATTTCTTGTTTGTTCCCCACTCTCTCTTTCGATTTTTTTTTTCCAGATCTGAACAGCAGCAGTAACATGACTATAGTCATATTTATGTATTTTTCGAATATGAATATAATCTATCTTCTCGTTTTCAAGTTGACTTATAGTAAGTAGATTCAAATTGATTTTTTGTGTGGATATTGATTGGATTGTTTTCGTAAACAATAGGGAATATTCGTTGTTTTATATGATTTGGTAAACATGACTATGCCATATAATCGGAATTTTTAATTTCAAAAAAAGAAAAAACAACAATGTAAAGAAAGAATATGACTACAGTTAATATAGTCACATATAGTCATATTCAACTACAGTCATATTCGGGTTGTAAAAATATTAAAAATAAAAATAAATAAAAAATGGCTAAATAAAGTCCAAAAATAATATAAAAATAAAAAATAAAAAAAATAAAATCCGAAAATATATTTTTCTTTTGATTTGATAGCATTTTTTTAGGAATTTGGAAGCACATTTTTTGGAATTAAATTGTTATTATGGAAAGAGAGAAAAAATAAACAATTGAGATAAATTATACTAATTAATCCTAATTAGCGGGATTTAGGTGCCTCATTAATAGGAAATTTGTAAATAGTAGATAATTATAATAAAAAACCTGCGGGATTTAGTTTCCTTATTAATAGGAATTTTGTTAGTAATAGATAATTATTAAAAAAAGTAGTATAAGGGTAAAATTGGAAATAAATATTCTAAGGGGTTTTCACAAAGAAAGAATTATGGCATGGACATATCACTTATTTTTATCTATAGGAGGGGTGTATTGCTAATGACCCCATTTATATTTGAACTAACTCAAGTACATTGTCATACATGCTCCAAAATAGTCCTCAGACTGATATAATTAAATCAAGTAACCAAACAACTAATTAGGTCAACTAACTTTTAATCGACTAAATCTTTTTAATTAGTAGAACATATTTTTTGTTAGTCGATTGAGTTTTTTACTAAATCGCGTAAATTTTTTGCGTGAGTTTTGGAAAGCAGACTTTTGCACAAAAGTTATTTGCGCGAGTTTGCGATCTATTGATGAAGGATTCCGCTAAATCTTTTTGTTAATCGATCAATTTCATGCTCGTTCTTAGATATCAATTACCATTTAACTGAAATAAACAAAACCCAAAATCTGGACCAAGTTTATAGGGTTATTAATGATCAGAGTGGGAACATCATAGACTTCCAATTTTTTCGAATTTTTTTGACTTGGAAAAAATAAACAGGAATTTCGATTTCTGATTCCATTTCAATTTCAGAAAATAATTTCGAAAATTCAAAAGCAAATTACAAAAGTTATATTTTAATATCCATATTATTGTGTATTTTATGTACTTTCGATTCGATTCCGATCCGACTATTTCAGATTTGTTATCCAAGTTTTTTCTTATTATTTTTTTATTTCCGTTTTTGACAAGGGGATTGGAATTAGTTTTTCACTTCCAGAAAAATCATAATATTTTCGAAAGTACTAATCATGATCCAATCGGTCTGATTCGCACCCCTAATTATAGCAACTGAAAAAAAATATATACAATATGGACTTTTAGCTTTAGAAAGAAAGCAAGAAAAAAGTTATCACCGGCTACAATCAAAAGTGGTGAGGGGTTATCCTAATTTATAACAATTCCATAAAATAAAATAAAAATCAATAATTATATATATCCAACTTCTTAACATTAATAAGTAATTACTATGGTGTTTCAACCTTTTTATTAAAATTACCATCTTCAAATGTTATCACATCTTAAAGAAATTCTCAGTTACCTTTTTTTTTTATAATTAATAATAGAATCCGCAGCCACTCGAAGTGCATTACGTATATTCGTGCAATAGCTCTGGAATCATACAAGAGACATAAAACATCGCTAAACTAATCATGCGGGACAAACAATAACGAGTTGTGGTTTTTTAGTAAATAGGTGAAATTTCAATAATTTAGGATATTCTAGAAGGTGATAGACTGATGAGAAAACCACCAAATAACCCTAATCCCATAATACACCTAACACCAATCATTGTGTCTTATTTCCCATCAAAATAAAGTGTAGTTAGTTAAAATAAATGAGGTTCACAATCAGACAGCACAAAAGCCAATAGTAGAGATATAGAGATATTGATACAGATATGCTGTTGCATTTCACCAGACAATCATTATGGTCCCATAACCACATGCAAAAATGTACCCTTGTGTACTTCTCCAAAATAAAAAAAAAAAAAAAAAACAGAAAAAAAAAGTAAATTAAATTACATTTTGTGTGTAACAAATCAAAGAATTTGTATATTGATCTGGCTTTAACAAATCAAAAGTCCAGTAGATGTAGGTAATAAGAAAATACCTTAAAACCACTCGGCTCACTCGTGGCTGCGTTAATTTCGTATACAAACTACTAATTTATGTAATAACACTGTTTTGCTCTCTCTATATATATATATACTACAGCTGTGGCATATACGCGAAAAAGAGAAAAAAAGAAAAAAAAACCCGTTTTCAGAATCTTATCGGCAAACCGTAATTGAGAAACGTTCGAATGCAGCCATCCCACCCCGCAGTAACTACCACGAGCCCCCATAAATGGGGAGAATTGAAAGCACTGAGCCAAGAATTCTTGAGAAACTTGAACTCGGATTTGGTCACTGAGGGTTTGACAGGTGGCAGTCTCTCCTCTGGCCAAGTGGCGGATCCTCTGTATAGAGCGTCCAAGAAAAAGCCGAGGCTGGTTGTTAAACAGTCTGGGAATTTTTGGAGCAATTTCTCGTCGAAGTGTGAGTTTCCTAATATACTTGCTGGTAGTGAACCTAGCTTGTTCTTCAATCCGCACCACGGAATGGCGATTGAGGAATTCTGCGAGAAGAATGTTTCGCGCGAGAATACGTTTTTTAATCGGGATGGTTTTTGGTCGGGAGGGGTAGAAGCGTAATTCCACACACGGACGTTTGACTCGTCGGTGGCTGAAATGATGTGTTCCCCGTCTGATGTGAAAGCAGCTGGCACTTGGCTTACCGTACCTCGATTTCCTAAAATCAAATTTAAAAAAAAAATCAGAAATTTAATGATACATTCGTTTAATTATTTAGAGAAACAAAAGGAAAAGAATTACGACCTTTGAATTTACAGAGGATATTTGTGCCGCATAGAATTTGAACTTGAGAATCGGCACAAGTGACCATTACTTTGCTCACGTCACTGGGGCAATACTGAACAAAACGAACCATCATCAACTGCGTAAATACGTGTGTGTGTGTGTGTGTATAATGTGGGATTTGGACAATTAAAATTGACATGAAATTCAAACCTGAAATCCGATTATTCGATTGCCGGGCGATTTTTTCTTCCCTTTGAGGCATACTGAAGCGCCCAATTCGACACGATTATCTAAATTGGAATGGTTTTACATACATCAGTTTTAAACAATCATGTACAAGTAATTGCAAAATCAATAAAATAATATTAATAAATCTAAATTGGAATGGTTTTACATACATCAGTTTTAAACAATCATGTACAAGTAATTGCAAAATCAATAAAATAATATTAATAAATAAACAAGCTATATTGTAACATATAATCGGGAGTACCTATGATATCATAAAAACGGCAACTGCCATCCATGGAGCCAACAATACCTCCCTGAACCAATGCGAAACAACGTAATTTAATTATTCCCCCAAAGTACTATATATCTCCACAACAAAAAAATTATATAATAATATATATATATATATATATATATATATATATATATATATATATATATATATATATATATATATATATATATATATATAGACACACACACACACACACAGACCTTCCCGTCAGGACAATAACACACAGCAGTGACAATTTCTCTGATATCAATCCAATCGATGACTCGACCGCCCTCAACTTCCCAAATGCGTAACTTTCCATCAATCGAACCACTAATGAAATTATTATCATTCACGGGATTGAACTCAACGCAAGTTACTGAATCAAGAATAAAAAAAAAAAGTAATATCGTTAATTCGTTATCAACAGAAAAAGACGAAATAAGCAAACATAAGGAAGACCGTCTATAGAGAGGACTCACCATAATTATTATGTTGATAAACTCCTAGACAACCATCGTTTCCCACTCTCCACAAACGAGCCGTTTTATCAACCGAAGAAGATAGTAAGTACTGCAATGTATATAAACAACATGGTTCAAAATCGTAACAAAATCGACTCGAATTACAAGACCATTTTAACATTGTTTAATACTAACCCCATTCTTGGACCACGCGAGAGACAAAACCTCCCCACTGTGCCCGTGAAACTCGTGTAGAGGTTTCTCCGATAACTGAAAAGCCTTTGGCGGAAGAATTACACAAGACGATTCCGAAGACTTCTTCAAGAATTTCATATGATCGTCTTTCTCTTTGGCAAACTCGAGCGGAGTTAACTTGGAAGAATGACTCAGAGAAAAGTACACAGACGAAGGATCAAGAACGTCTTGCTTATTAAGTTTATTTACAACATCCTCTTCTTCTAGAACCTTCCACACACGCACTACACCATCCACACCCGCACTAGCAAGGTAAAGACCATCGTGACTGAACTTCATAGTCAAAATCGAACCCTCGTGCGCGTGAAACTCTTGCCCAGTGTAGACCGACGAAAGCTCTTTTGTGTGTTTTTTATAAACGTTGACACGAATTCTTTGGTTAGTGGGCCCCGTTTTGGGGTAAATTTCGGTCTTACGAAGCAAACCCTTTGTCCTATCGATAATATGGGACACGGGGGGAAATCTGTGGAGCCAATTGGTTTTTGTCTTCTTTGGATTTACTATGTTGAACCCTTTACAGTCTTTTCTCAATAGGTGCTGGACCAATGAGGATGAGCCAAGTGTCTTGTGAAACTCGTCGAGTGAAATCATTTTATTCGAACCCAATTCGTGCAACATGGTACAACATCCCTCCTCGGCTAGTTCGTACTCTGTTCCGTTGTCGAGATTCTTGATTTTCCACATCAGATTCTCATCGAATTTAGAGCAATCTTCTAGAAAGTTTGTGGACTCGTACGACCGAAAAGATTGGAAAGAACAAGTTGAGAAGAATTCGGATTCTTCTGAATCAAAATTTGCGAGCGGGTCCTCTTCGAGAACCCTCAGTTGATCAACATCGTCCCTTTTCAAATCTTCACGAGACGATTCATCCTCTTCATGCCAATTAGAAGTCAAACCCATCCATTTTAAAAATTTGTCACGTCTTTCGTCGACACTATCTGGCTCCTCAGTCCAAAACTCGTAATCCAAAGCGTACTTGTCCGCCCCAGAACTGAAAGAATATTCTGGCGGATCGAAACGTGAATCTGATACAGAAGATACGTTGTTACGATCGACAACGGATTGAGCATCTTTTCCACTGTAACTCACCATCATTTTTTCCTCAGATCAACCCACAAAACCTATATCACAAAAAAAAAAAAAAAAAAAAAAAATTAAATCGGTAAATTATAAAATCCCATTTTTCGATTCAACAGCCCTTCCATCATCAAAGCCGTAACCTAAATTAAACGACGCCGTATGAAACTCATCGGTCAAAATTGAAGACCGAAAAACATGAATTATTCAAAACTATCAATTTCCAGAGCAAATACACTACATCATCTACAAAATCCAACGAACATAACCTAAAAAATAAATTCAAAAAAAAATGATCATAGGTTTGATTCAGCGCACACCTAAATACAATAAATTTAAAATTCCACCGCGTTCAGTACATAATACTCACCTGGGCTGAAGAAGAAGAACACAAATCACGAATCAAACCCAGAAATCGCAAAGCTCACGCACCAACAATCACTCAATTCCGGCAGCCCCAAAATCAAAATTGATACTGCACTACACACGTTTTATTACAGGCTGAATCCTCCGAAACAATACAAATCCGAAGCAGAATTAAAATTAGGGATTAGAACGAAAGATTCCAACTCTGCAAAACAGGGTTTCATTCAAAGGAAAAAAAAAAGGGGTAGAAGGTGGAATTGGGGGAAAAAAGAAAGATGGTAATGGTGTCTCACTGTAACAAGTCTTCTCTTTTTCCTCCTCTGATTTCTGATTCTTTTTTCCTTTTTTATTTTTATTTTATTTCCTTGTATACACTTTGTTTTGTGAAATGACGGGTTTAACCCTAGTTGATGTACTAGTTCAACTAACGTCTTAACGGGTATATCGATGACTTTTTAAATTGTTGAGGTGCCAAAATTTGACATTAATTGTATTATTTCCTTTTTTTTTTTTTTTTTTTTTTTTTTTTTCAGTTTTAATTTTGATTTTTATTATGTTGCACTTGCCTAGTAGAAATCGTCTTTCTGCAATTCTTTTATTTGTCGCTTATATTTTAAAAAAATACATGTCGTAAATATATACTCGCCTTATTTATACATCCCTAAATAAAATAAAGACAATTGAATCAAAAGAAGAAGAAGGAGGAGGAGAAGGGCGGGAATTGTAATGGAATTTCCGAATTCGCTAATTCTGATTTGAAAATATCAAAAAGTTCTGATTTTCGATTCTTCCGAATTTACTTGGAACGAAATTGGAATGAATAGAGGAAATTCTGATATCCGATCCGATTATTTCAATGGTTTTTTGAAATATAATTTATGTTATATTTTATATAAAAAATATAAATACCGAAGGATTGAGTAAATTAAAATCTTAGAAAATATTAATTAGTATCAGAAACTTTATGGTGCATTTTTTCTTATTAGAAAATCTATGTTTCAATTTGTTGCTCTTATATTTGTTTTTATTTATTGCGTGTTGGCGAACTCTATTTTGGATTTTCTTACATTTTCCTGTAAATTTTTTAAAAAAGATAGAAAAATAGTGTGAAAATTTTCATTATATCCGAATTTAGAACAAGAAAATATAAACTAATGTAATTTTCGAAATTTTCGAAATTCAGCCGATTTCGTGACATTTCGAAATCGAAATAAATTTTTGCATACCGATTTTTTTGGAATGGAAATTAGAACCCAGTTTCTACTTCTGAAAAAAAATAGAATTTTCATTCGGTCCAATTTCCACCCATAATAAATACTTAAACAGTGATTACAGATACAAGAAATATACAGCACTAAGAGCAACTCCAATGGGAGATATCAAAATGGAGCATTAAATATTGATTTGATACTTGATATAATACTTTAATACTTCATGAAAAAAAAATTCACTCCAACCACAAGTATCAAATAGAATATCAAATTTTAAGTATATGAATAATTATATTTTTAAATGCCACGTGTCAAATAGTGATAGGTTAATTGGGTGGTTATATTTTTGATACCTCATTTTCCAGGGAGTATTTTTGCACCTCGGGGTGGTTGAGTATCAAAATAATTCTCCATTTAATGCCTCCATTAGAGGAGGATTTTTTAATTTTAGAGCATCAAAGTGGTAGTTTTTGAGTTTGATACCTCATTTAGTGCCTCCATTGGAGTTGCTCTAAAAAGATTATTTACATTTTAGTTTTATTTAGTGGTTATAATTATACGCGGTTAATTAAGAATATTCGTTCCTTTTGAAAAAGAGAGAAAAATAATAAAGACACCAGAGAGGAGTGGTCCAATCTAGTCAAGGTGCAACTGTAAAGCATCAAAACGTTACATGTACTCCTCTACCTTAAATAAATAAATCAAACGATTAAATACATTTTTATTTTAATACTATATTAAATGATTATAAATAAATAAATAAAAATGTTAAAACGCAAATTAAAACTTACAAACAAGATGCAGGCATTTGGCAGACAAACTAGAGAGAAAATTCAAAATTGTTTCGATTTACATAAAAAGCATAAAACTATTTGTGTATAATAATGGCTATTGGCTAGTAGCTATTGAACTTTTCAATATATTTATTTTCCCAATATTAATAAATTGAATGTCACATTTAATCTATGAATACTTAATTTGATTATTTGCAGTGAGACGTGGCTTTCAGAACCCAAATTGGGTTTTTACCCTATAGGCAATGGAAATCTAGAGTCGGCAACATCACCAAATAAACAATTACTCACTACAACACAAATTAAAGCAACTTTTTTTTTTTCTGTGGTATTTTATATTTCTCTCTTTTTTTCTTCTTCTTTCTTGGTGAACCGATGGGTCCGCGGCAGGAGAAAGGGTGAACCCGAACTGAACTGGGTAGAGGCGGTTCAGGGTCCGGGTCGATACCCACTGGCTCTTGCCATTTTTGGGTCAAAACTGAAATTTCATTTTTTATTTTATTTTTGAAAAAAATATAGAAAAGGAAGATAAATTGAAAGGACTAGATAGAGCTTAATTGATTAAAATCTTTGAATAATTTTTATATGTCAAAGATTTGATTAAATCTTACTATTTATGATATGATTCTTATAAATTAAATTTATTATTTTTCTATGATAAAATAAAATTGGAAAAAATAAGACTTCAATTATAAATAGTTAATTGAGTTAGTATCGATTCAAATCTTTGAATAAAGTATACGAATTGAAATGGCTTGAGTTTTATCGATTGAGATCTTACGATTTACTAGTGGTTAGAATATTTAAGTTTACATTGATTAACATATTAAAGTACAAAAAATGTTGTTTTAATATATTTACATTTATCGTTAACAATAATAATCTGCACTGGGTTTTTATTAACTTTTTAAATAGGCAAGATTAGTTGTATTTGTAAGAGCTATACACATTCTTCATAAATAAATTATCGTATCACTTGCTTCAAGAATTAAAATTTTCAAAAATATAGATAGAGTTTATTTAATTATTTTGGAAAAGTTCAATGATTTTACAAAGGGTGTTTGGCTAAGCTTATTTTAAACAGCTGATAAGCTCTTACGTCTGACAAGATGTTTTAAGAGCTGATAAGCTGTTACAACTTATTTTTAGGATTAATTTTTAAAGTGTTTGGATATTGGGCTTATTTCCTATTTTTACTCATTAAAAGATCTTAAATAAAAAGGTGGGGTAGATGTACTTATTTAAAAAGATCTTATTTGCTTAGCCCTCTAGGTTGGACCAAGTGATTTTGTTTTTGTCGTTTTTTTCTTTAATGTTGGTAGAGATATTAAAAATACTTCCATTTACATATTGTTACAAAAAAAAACACAAATAAAATAGTTTAGTTATTTATTTTTTTAATATAAATATTTATTAGAAATTTAAACTAATGTAAATAAAAAATAATCATGAAACTTGATTATATATATATATATATATTGAATTAAGCTATTATATATCATGTATAATACGAAATAATTCAAAATTTTAAATATGAAACTAATTCATAGAATCTCTCATCGAAAACGATTGTTATCTTTAATGGAAGCTGAGTCTAAAATAAAATTTAAAAACACATTATAGAGATTCTAGGGTATACTCTTTGTTCCATTGGTTTTCTTTTTAGTATTTGAAAGGAATTTATTCTATAGTACACAGCAAAATCTCGATAAATCAATAATTTCGCTTAGTTAATAGTATTTTCCGATTCCGACCCATTAAAAACATATTAAATTACTAGTTCGATAATGTAATATTTTACTAAATTAATAAAATTTTGTTAATCACAACTGTATTAATTTATGGAGATGTAAATGTATTTATTAAAATCCGAATATTAAATATAGTGCATCACTTTCCACTATTGTCAACGTAAAAGTTTGACTTTTGACTCTTCTTGTTGCCATCTGCGAACGCGTTAAACCGACGCTAACCTTTCATTTCATTTGAATTCAACATCCCCCACCCAGTTTCTACTGTTGCCTTTTTACTCACTAATTAATTATTTATTTAATTTTCGGCACTTGTTAACTATTTTATTATGCATTCGACTAATTCTAATATTTTTTTGACAATCTTGTCCTTGTAACTTTACTCTTCCGAGAGTTTGTGTGAATGTAATGTTTTGTTCTAATAATAATAATAAATAATAATAAAAAGAATGTGTGTTTAGTGTTTCCTACATCACATTTACTTGGTGTTTATTGCTTAGTGGTTGACATGTTAAAATAATTAGATTTTTTTGAAATTAAACCAATTGTAGTCAAATTAAGTGCACAACATTATTATTGAGGTTGTTGGCATGATGTTTAATGTCACTCTACCATTCTTTTATTTTAGATCATTTGTGTTAATCCTCTCATAAAAAACTAACAAATCTTTATATTTCCTTTAGCAATAACATAGGGGAAGAATTTTTTTTCGCCAACTTTCCCAGTTAACTTAGTCGAAATTGGCACGTGCACTGTGACATCTATGTGACAATCGAAATCTAATTGGAAGATGAGTTGGACAATATCTCATTACCTCTCGATATCTTTCATATCTTCTATCTAAACCCTTTTTCAAATTCACAAATCCTACTTCAAATTTCCACATTACAAACAATGTATCACTATCGATTTCAGCAAGAACAAGACTTTGAATTTCTGATTGATGAGGGCAGCGATTAACTAATGATGGATCGAAAACCTTCATATAAAAACGCACAGCGATTCGATACTCGAAAAATCAAAATGCGATCTTCTAAGATGGGAATTATGGGCATGGTTTGGAAATTCGAATATTAGAATTGAGGGACTTATGTAGAAAATGAATTATGAATTCATTGGAAGGAAATAAGGATTTGTTCGACCCTACACCCGGTGAAAAACACCGGGTGTGTCTTCTGCTGCCACGTGTCTCTTTTTTGTATTTTATAATAGATTTCCCGCTAGGGTTTACCTTTAGGGGTTTTAGAAAAAAAAAAAAAAAAAAAAAAAAACACGTGGCAGCAGAAGACCCACCCGGTGTTTTTCGACGGGTGTAGGGTCGAAGAAACCGGAAATAAGAGAGAGAAAATAGAGAAGATTGCATTTGAGAGAAGTGCAAAATAGTAGAGAAATAAAGTTTGGTAATTTGTGCAATGTGGGGGCAAATTAGGGATATGGCATATGATTTTGACAAATGTTAATTTAATTGGGTAATGAAGGAGGGTCTCGTTTTTTTGTTTTTTTTTTGAGAAAATTCAAGTCAATTACAAGGGAAAGTAGGGGAGGGGGGACTCGAACCCTAGACCGTTACCCTATTGGTAAAGGTTAGGTACCAACTCTCCTAGTGAGGGTTGGT